CCTCGGATTTGGGGGTGAATCACCATCTCTGAGCAGAGTCACCTCATTTCTCTGCCTCCATTTACTCCTTCTATAACTAGATAATTTATATTTATCTCCCTAAAGATGCTGGATCCCATGAGGACATTTCAAGACCTCATGAAGCAGGGAGATCTTCCTTTAACTCTTTCTTGGCTCAAGTCAAGAAAGGAGGAGTGACTTTTTTTGGCAGTGCTGCTTTTGCTCCACAGTTCCTCTTTCCTTTAGAGGAAAACCGCTGCAGATGTTGTTACTACCGTTGTGTGGTGTTTGTGTCCCATCTGCCCTCCAAGGGCTCGGTGTGAGCACACCTGGAAGTGTCTGTGGGCAGGATACGGGATCCATGTTATCAGTAGTTCCTCCCAAATTGAGTCAGCAGCACTATTTGTCTTGAAGTTGATGCTGCAAAGGAAAAGGAAACACTGATGGACCGGAAGGGGCTGTAAAAAGATGGAATAAATGTGGAGTCTTGACTGGGAATAGTTCAGTCTGGTCCAGTGCATGGAGTCAGACACGTTATTTTGCCTCTAAATCCCTGTTTTGGGGTTGCAAAAAGTAGGAGCAGGTGTCCAGACGACAAGAGTTGCTGAGGAACCTCTGTGGGCATCTGGGAGAACGGGTCACTGCTCCTGGGATCCGCTTTTTGTCACGCAGGAGCTTGGTTAGCGTCGGGATGGTTGGCTTTTGGGTGGGTTTTGGTGGATTTTCCTTAATCAGCTCCAGAGTTTGATGAGCTGAAGCATCAGTTCCCTTTGGTGAAATAAACCCTTTGGAGGGTTCCGAGCCTGAGTTGGTGATTCACCTCTCACCAACATCAGATGGCGAAGATGATGCGGGGGCAGGCGAAAAATCCTTGGAGGTGACTCGACTGTCAGGGATTCCGGAGTCTCCATGCTCTGCCCTTGTGGTTTCCGGCAGGTGGACAGGCACGTGGACCTGCTGCAGATCGCCAAGGAGACCGACGGGTTCTCGGGCAGCGACCTGAAGGAGATGTGCCGGGACGCGGCGCTGCTCTGCGTGCGGGAGTACGTCAACAGCGCCTGCGAGGAGGACACGTACGTGCCGCGCCTCTCCCGGCCCCCGCAGGGCTCAGCTCCCCTTGCCCGGCCTTGGTCGGGAATTTCGAGGCGGTTCGACCCCCTCGCAGCGTGGGAGGGTCTGGTTTGCCTTTCCTAAACCCCCACAGCTTTCAGAATCCAAGTTGCCATTGTTGATTTTGACTCTGGAAATGAGGTGGGGGGTGTGCCAGGGTGCCAGGCTGGAGATGGCAGGAGCCAGCACGTCGTGGTGCTGCAGTTTGTGCCGGGGTTTGGTGCTGGTGACGCGGTGCTGCAACGTCCCTCTGGGATCCCCCGCACCTACAGGGAGTCCCTGTGTGCACAGGGGCCGTGTCCATGGAAGGGAACGGAGCTGAGAAGGGGCTGGAGCAGCAGGAGGGGCTGAGGGAGCTGGGGGGGCTCAGCCTGGAGAAAAGGAGGCTCAGGGGGGACCTTCTGGCTCTGCAACTCCCTGACAGGAGGGGGGAGCCTGGGGGGGGTCGGGCTCTGCTCCCAGGGAACAAGGGACAAGAGGAAAAGAAACGGCCTCCAGCTGTGCCAGGAGAGGGTCAGGGTGGACATCAGGAGGAATTTCTTGCTGGAAAGGGTGGTCAGGCCTTGGCAGGGGCTGCCCAGGTTGGTGGTGGAGTCCCCACCCCTGGAGGTGTCCAAGGCAGGCCAGGTTGTGGCACTCAGTGCTCTGGGCTGGGGACAAGGTGGGCATCGGGCACAGGGGGCACTCCATGGGCTGGCAGATCTTTTCCAGCCTGAATGATTCCATGATTCCAGCGTGATGCTGGATCCATCTCAGAGCTCCTGTTCCCAGTGACTGCTGCTCACTGCTGGGTTAGCTGTTCCACAGCACCTGAACCCTCACCTTGCCGTTTCTCCCTCTCTCTCGAAGCCACGACGAGGATGAAATCCGGCCCGTGCAGCAGCAGGACCTCCACAGGGCCATCGAGAAGATGAGGAAATCCAAGGATATGTCCATGCAGAACCTGGCCATGGAGATTGTTTTTGACTAAGCCCAGAGAGGCGTGTTTGCAGTTCCTGATGTGATTTAGTTTGACTTGTGTAATCAGTTAGCAAAAACCAATGCCGGGGGGGGCGGGGGCGGGGACGGACGAGGGAGTTCTCGGTTCTCGGAATCGTTTTGATACAACAACTTCTAAGTTATTGAAATTCCATCGCGCGCCACTGGAAGTGCAGCGGGGAGATCATGAGTGGAACGACTTGAGCCCAGCCCGAGAGGGTTGTCCCACGCTGATCCACTGAGGAGCCCTTCCAGCAGGTGGGACACAGGGGCACCGGGGTGAGGGGGACAATCCATGGCAGGGCTGTGTGTACCTGTGACCTGTAAATACCCACACCTCTTTTTTTTTTTTATACATATATATATATAGAGACATAATCTGTAGATAACTTGAGTATGGAAAAATCTTTTTCTACTTAACTGAAGCAAACCAAATGAGAAAGATGTGTAGATGAAAGGTTTCCTCGGTACTCAGTTCACTTCTACCTTTTAGCAGCAAATACCAAGATGATAGAAACTGCTTCTAGAAACAAAGCAAACTCGGAAATGCTACTGATTTCTCTGTCACGTGACCACTTGAAATCCGGTGCCATTTAGTAAAGATAGCAAAACTCCCCTGTACAAATGTTGGAATACTTTTAATTTTGTATGAATTCTGCCTTTTTTAAATGGACGCTGGTTTTATTTTGGGTTTTCCCTTGATGTGAGCAGTTAGAGTAGAACCTTGCCCGGTCTCTCCCAGCTCTCTGGGGCCGTGGCTTCCTGAGCTCCTGTGCTTTGTACTGAGGACTTGCTGCTTTCTCAGTCTCCTCTGGAGGCCCCAGTGTGGCTCCACAGCGTGAGGTGTCACAGCTCTGAGGCACGGGGGGGACACGCCATGTGCAGTGTTTGGCTCTGTCACGTGCTTGGATCCGGGACACTGAAGAGAACAGGAAGGGCTTTAGGCTTTTAAATGTGATTTAGCAACGTGCTGTGCTTGTTGGTAACAGTTCTGGTGAGTTCACGTTCTGAGGGGTTGCCAGTGCGAGTGGCAAAAGTGTTTTGGTGAAGTTTTTTTTTTGTCAGAGATATTCAAGGACTCAATTTTTCTCTGTCTGATTTGACGAACTGTGCACTAATTGAACACAAATCTGTAAAGGGAATCGTTTCCAACCCCTGGGGTGGAGTGTTGTGTCCCAGCTCTGCTGCCTGGGAGGGGAGGGGAGGCGTTGGAAGCGGAGAATGATGTAAAACTGAACGCACTGCAAAGTAAAATAAAGTGAAATCAAGAGGGCTGGAGCCCTGCCATCATCACCCAGTGTGGGGGCTGCTGACAGTGTCCATCCAGCACAGCTGCTTCCTGGAACGCTGGGCTGGGGATGCAGCAGGGCTGAGCTTGACCCAGTTTCATCTTGAAACCAAATGAGGAGGGAGGGGGGTTTAAAAGGAACCGAAGAATTGCTCAGACTCCTTTTCTTGGATCAAGAAACAAGGGGAGATGCACATTGCTCTCACACAGGGGTGCAGGAAATCAGGCACGGCAGAAATACTGGGCTATGGAAATGGGAAAAGCCTGGGATGTGGGATGCTAATCCTGCCCTGTCAGGTTAGTGCTGGGGCCGAGGGCAGGGATGGGTGACAGAGCTGGCTCTGGGTTCAGGGAGCCAGTCCAGAGGAGGAACCAAGAGGATCAGAGGATGGAGCAGCTCTGCTGTGGGAAAAGGCTGGGAGAACTGGGATTGTTCAGCCTGGAGAGGAGAAGCTCTGGGGTGACCCAGTTGTGGCCTTGCAGGGCCTAAGGGGTCGACAGGAAAGATGGAAAGAGAATATTTCTAAGGGCCTGGAGGGACAGGATAAGGGAGAATGGCTTCCCACTGCCAGATGGGATACTGGGAAGGAATTCTTGGCTGTGAGGGTGGGCAGGCCCTGGCACAGGTTGCCCAGAGAAGCTGTGGCTGCCCCTGGATCCCTGGAAGTGTCCAAGGCCAGGTTGGACGGGGCTTGGAGCAGCCTGGGCTGGTGGGAGGTGTCCCTGCCCATGGCAGGGGGTGGCACTGGACGGTCTGTAAGGTCCCTTCCAGCCCAAACCATTCCACGATTCTATGACCCACCTTAGAATTAAACCTGCAAATTGTGCTACTTACCAGGATCTGGTTTCTCAGGAGGTTGGAATGACGCCTGTGCCAGGTGCTCCAGCTGATCCATGTGTTCCATGCCTGTTCTGACACTCTTCCAGCCCCTCTCCAGGATTGTTACACCTGAGAAATGCTGGGCTGGGAAGCTCCTCCTGCACCTCCCACCCTTTTTTTCAGGCTGCTTCCTATTTGGTAAAGACCCAGCAGGCAGGTTTTAGTTGGTGTTAATTGAGTGTAAAGTGTATCCTCGGGGGAGTTTTAACATCCCACTGAGGGCAGCATTGCAGGAACAAACCCTGGGCTGTTGGCAGGTGCTGGGACAGCCTCTGGCTGAGCTCTGATCTGCCTGTTTCTCCAAAATCCTGGCTCCTGGCACGGCTGGATCTTGCCTTCTCCTCGTGCCGGTATCACCGCGGGCTGACTGAAGAGGCACGAGGGGTTATTTCTAATTGCCCCTGAGGGCAGTTACTGCAGATGAACTGCAATTCCCACTTCTCCTGGAACTTTTCCAGACTTGTCTACTCTTGCTGCCGCCTCAGGAGTCCTTCTTGTCAAAGCTCAAGCCCTGCTAGAAAGGCTGGGGGAGCAGCGTGGTTTGTCCTGCAGGAACGTGGCCGCTTCAATCCCGTGGCTCCAGCGGTTTGGTCCAATCCTCCCCCTCCGATCCTGCCTCTCCTCAGAGGTGGGGATGAGCCTCATCTCTCTCCCACACCTCCAGGGCCAGCTGCTCAAACTGCATCGAGTCTCCCAGATGCCAAGCGAAGTTTCTCCCCCAGAAAAAATCCAAGTGAGAGCTACTTAACGTGTATAAATATTTATTTGTACTAAAAGTGAGGGTTTCGTAGCAGAGCAGCGAGTTCAGAATATATTAAATCATGAGATGCCATCAGTTGAAGTACAAATTCCAGTCTCATGTCTTCAATAAATACACTATAAAAGCCCCAGCCCTCATACTGTAATCAGGACACTACGCTGGTTTAACAGGACGATACAACAGCAGTGTTTGCTGTAACCACCTGGATTTACCACAGAGGGTTTTTTAATGCTGGATTGTTTTAATGATGAGCAGCAACAGCGCCACTTCACTCCTTAAAAATCCAAAGTGGGAATCTTGCTTTTGGCTTGCAGGTCCCTGCCAGAGGGCCTGAGCAGATGAGGTGCTGTCAGCTCCCACCACGGGGGCTGCAGCATTTCCTTGGACTATAACACAAGCTTTGGGCTCTGTGCTCCAAAGGCTTTAAAAAAATGACTTAAAACCCCACCCAACGAGCCTTTTTGGGGGGTTGTTTCCCACCATATCCCAAGGCCTGGAGGCTGTGCCATGGCCCCAGCAGAGCGGCTCCGAGCTGGCGGTGTCGCTCCCTACCCTGACAAGCTGGTTGGTTTTGCTGGACGTGGATCCGTTTGGAATTAACACTGAAGCACGACAAGAAGGGAATGCTGGTTCCTGTTCCTTGGGAACACATCCTGACCGGATCTGGGGCAGCTACTAGGGGAGGACAGGTATAAAAATCACAAATTCAGGTGGCTGGAGTAACAAGAGACTGTCCTCTGCTGGCACCTCCCAATTCTTGCTTGTTGCCCAGAGCTTTCTGAGAGGTCTCAGGTGCGTCCCAGGCCTGCTTTTCCTGCCAGGCTGTGAGCACAGGGAGCACCAAAGGCACAGTCCCCACGGAGAGCTGGACCCAGAGCACCAGGAATGCTCAGCCCGGGTTCTGTTGGACCACAGAGGTCCAGCAGGAGGAAACAAGGAATGACAGCGAGCAACTGGCTCGGCCACGAGGAACTGGTGGTGGTGGTCAAGGCTGACTGTAAAAAATCCTTTTAAGAAAGGGCATTAAAAAGATTCCGCTGTTTATTAGGGACAATTGTCTAAGGCACAACCTGGAGGGTGGTGACTGGATCCGGGCACAGGGTGCCCATTTCCCTCTCCCAGCCCGGCAGCAGCATCCGCTCCTCACTTCAGCACCTGCTCCTGCCTCGTCAGGAGAGGGGCACTGGGAAGGCACTTCTTCATTCCTGCCCCACGCAGGGGACAGGTGGGATTTATCCCGGTGCCGAGGCCCCATCTCGGCACTGGGAGCTGGTGCGTGGCCCGGCAGCACCAAAATATCCGTGTGGCCCACCTGGAGGCTGTGCTGGGCTTCCTGCCACCAGGATCAGCTGGGAGTGAATGAAGGGACCTGCTGCCCTTCCCTTCCAGCTCCACGAGGATGCTCCCAGCAGCTTCAAGGGGAGAAGGACCAGGCTCGAAGTATTTCTGATTAGTAAAAACCACCCTGACCCGGGTGGGAAAATCCCACGGTCGGAGCACTGGAAATGCCACGTAACTGATCTGTGTCATAGGGAATCAATCAATCATTGCTCACTCTTAATACAAGTATTTCTGGGAAGGAGGAGGAGGAGGAGAGAAGCGTTAGTTCTTCTTTTCCAGTGACTGGTAGTAGGTGGTGAGGACTTTCCAGGCTTTGGGGGCCATGAAGCCATCCGGTGGGTTTTCACCTTCCCGAGCGAGTTTCCTCATGCGCGTTCCTGAGATGAAGTCGAAGTCGTCGTGCCTGTGCAAAACAGAGGCCAGCGACATCAGCACAGCTGGCCCAAGTCATCCCCCGAGGGCTCCTCATCCGAGGGGAGCTGGAGCATCCACAGCACGCTTCCCAGCCGGGAGAGGCTGCGTTCCTCCCGCCACTCAGTCCCCAGACTGTGCTGCTTAATCCTCCCTGTGGCACCTTTAGTTCCACGTGAGCCATCCTTGACCTGGTGACAGCTCTCAGTGGGGGATAATTCCAGGGGGGGGCTTTCCCAGGTTCTGCCCCCCACTCCTCTCCTTAAGAGGAACACCAAGGGTTTTCCCTCTGCCCTGGCGAGCCGTGAGCCCGAGGTGACCACAAACCCCCCCATGCTGTGGGAAGAGGGGCCGAAGGAACCGCGACGCCGCTGCTGCCGTTACCTTTTGGGGTCATAAAAATCCATGGCCCTTTTCAGCTTGTTGTAGGCGGCCACCCTGAAGGGGATGATCTCCACCGAGGTGAGCCCCGGGGCCATGCTGAGCACCTTCCCGCCGTGCGTGGGCTCGTAGAGGTCCTTCTTGGTGTCGGGGTGCGGCATTCCCGCGGGATCGCGCCCCACGATGTAGAAGTTGGCCCCTGCGATCATCCGAGCTCGGCAGTGCCACTGCACCTGCACGGGGAGGGCGGGGACACGAGGCTGAGGGCTGGGCAGCAACGGGGCCACCCAGCCCGGGCTGCGAGAGAGCTCCTGGCCATCCACACGCAGGCAGGCAGGAAGGAAGGAAGGAAGGAGATGTGTCAGCAGCCTGGCTGCGGGTTTGTCGCGGCGCTGAGGCCGCCCAGACACATCTTGTGCTGCTTGGACCTGATGCAGCCACAGTTCTCCTAAGGACACGCATTTCCAGGGAAACACCGGGCATGGGAACGGGGTTTGTTCCAATCTGGCGGCAAATGGAGGCCGCAGTTTGAACCCTGAACGTGCAAAGGCGGTGCCCACCACACGTCCTTCCCTCCCCTCCTCCCTCAGGGCAGGTCCAGCATTGACTCCTTTGGCCCCACCGATTTAGGGATGGCAGGGAAACCACTGGGGGGGTGTGGAAAAAATGAACGTCCCTGCCCGACAGGAAAAGGGGAAATCTTGTTTCTACCCCTCGTCCCCAGTGAGGGGATGGGAGCCCACGGAGCTGAGCTCTGCGAGGACACAGCAAGTACAGGGGAACCGTGGAGGGAACGGCTACAACTCCCTTCCTGGGACTTCCCGGAGCTGCAGGGGCAGGTTGGCAGCAGAATCCCCACACCCTGCCCCGGGGAGCAGCCAAGGGCTCCGTTACCTCCGTGGGGCCGGCGTAGAGCATGGGGAGGGGAAGATGGCCACGATGGTCGACTTGGGGTCCAGGACCTGCTCCTCCAGCACGGCCGCGTGCTGCTTCATCCGCCACTCCAGCGGCACGTCGTCATCCTTGGTCCACCCCCCCAGGGGGTGCAGGAGGAGCACAGGGTTCTTGTAGCCCCTCTCCAGGAGCTGGCGCCGCGTGTCCTGCATGAGCAGGGCGTGCCCGTTGTGGACGGGGTTGCGCAGCTGGAACGCAAAGACGGCGTCTGGAAGGGAAGGACGCGGAGGGTCACGGGGCTGGCACCGACCCTCAGGGCCCCCTGGCTTCGTTTTACACACCTGGCATTTCCACACAGAGTCATGAGAGTGTCCTGCCTCCCCACGAGTGAGGCCTTAAATACCTCGGGTGAGTGTTTCACACAGATCCGTGGCTCTGCCAAGGTTGTTCTCGTTACACGCCCTTCCTTTGGGGCTGGTTTCAGTCCTATAATGTTCAGCCCTCCTGTAACGTTTGTAGGTGGACAGACACCTCCAGCAAGTTCCCCAACTTCCCAAGTGACTTGCCAGCTCCACGAGCTCAGTGGCACCTTCAGGAAGGCCAACGCTCTCCCCAAAGTAAGCATGGGTGTCTGACCTCTGCCAGCCTGCTGGGACCAGGCTGGACAGGGCTTGGAGCAACCTGGGCTAGGGGAAGGTGTCCCTGCCCATGGCAGGGGGTTGGAATGAGGTGATCCTTAGGGTCTCTTCCAACCCAAACCACTCTGTGATTCTGTGGGGTAGCCCCTGGGAGCTGTCCCCATGTGTGAAGGCCAGCCCTGTCAGCGCAGACAGGGAGGCTCTGACCTGCCAGGGAGGACACTGCGCTGTCCAGCCCATCACAAGCACCATCCTTAAGCACGGAGACCCTGCCCCGCTTTCGTGCCTCCTACTGCTCAACCCCACCGGAACAGCCCCATTTTGGGAGTGTCCAGCAAGCAACCTGGCAAGTGCTGCGAGTTTGGGAGCACGTCCCCACGGATCACACCACCCTGCCGGTGCCAGCTGGGGCAGGGAGAGCCGTGCCCCCAGTGCCAGCCCGGGGCACTCACCAGCGTTCATCTCCCTGAACTTCTGCTTCAGAGCCCGTGGTGTGAGGCGGTACTGGTCCAGCCCATCGTCCCACTTGATCTTCTCCAGGACAAGGAGGTCTCCACCGACCAGCCAGTCTCCGCTCTCCATCACCATCTGTGGATTACACACACACATGCAGGGCAGAGGGGGCAGCAAGTACCTCCTTTTCCCTCTCCCACTCTCCTTTGAAAAGTGTTAGGTTTCACTCTGCTGGTGGGGTGATCTTCCCCTCCCCCTCAGCACATTGTAGGTGGAAAACCTCGTTACAGTGACCACATGAACTGCAAAAGGTGCCAGCCACCCAGTCCCCACCACTGCACCCAGCTGGGTGCTGCACTCTGGCAGCCAGGAGCGTACAAGGTATGGCACAAAACCTTCCTCCACCTCACCCTTTGCTCTTTCCTCCTGGGAGTACACCTGTTGCTGACTCATTCCAAAAGGTGTTTCAAGGGAGGGGGAAAAGAATTAACACAGCTTTAGCCTTTTTAGGCAGAGTCACAAGTTTTGACAGCTCAAGTCACTGGGTGGCACCCAGAGCTCTCCCCTTCTGTGAGGGATGAAGCTCCTTGTACTGCCAGAGAGTAAGTGGGAAGAGAGGAGCTGTAAAAACACGACACCCCTGTTGGCTGCCTGCACAGAACAGCCAAACTGAGGAGCACTGACTCCTTAGCCTAAAAATTCACAGAATATTCTGAGATGGAAGGGACCCAGCAGGGCCATCGAGTTCAGCTCCTCAGTCCTGCCTGCTCAGGATGTGATGATTCCCAGCGAGGAGCTGGGCAAGCAGGAAACCCACAGCCCTCAAAACCCACATTTGCCACCCCAGCCAGGCTTCCCGGGGGACAAACCTTACCTGGATGTGGGGGTGCCTGGGGCAGGTGGTGCCCCAGACACGGGCACAGCGCTCCTCCTTCCTGTGCTCGAAGAACTCGGGGCTCCTGAGCACGGCCACCCTGCGGCCCTGGTAGCTGAGCGCCAGCGCCTCGCAGCCCTCCAGCCGCTGCTTGTCCCCCGAGGACACCGGCAGCACGATGGGGATGCTCAGGTTCACCACGCCATCTGCCAAGAGAAGGGCACAACTTCACCATCCTCCGGCCCCGGGAACTGGGAGCGTGGCAAAAGGAGGACACCGCGCGAGTTCGGTCACGGCGCCGCTTTCCCTTCAGCGCTGCCGGTAAGTTGTGACCTCAGCGGGATCCAAAAGCTCCTTGTCCCAGGGACACAGATGTCTCCGAGACACCTGGAGGACCTCATTGCTTCCTGCACTCCCACTCTTCCCCTGGTTCTTTTCCATTAGTTGTGAAGTTAATGAGTGTAAACGTGCTTGGGAAACGCAGCCCTGGGTGCAAGCCCTGCCTCCTGCTCCAGGAGAACCAGCTCCATGGGCACGGTGTTCCCTGCAGCACCCCATTCCCTGCACACCTCCTGAGCTGCCTCTTCCACCACCACACTTGGTTTCCTCGGGTTTTTTTCTGGTTATCTCTATACTGCTGCTCCTCCTGCTTGGTATCTCTGCACTTGGCCCTTTTTAATCTGGGTGGACACAGCAAGTCTAGACTTGCACATGCAGTCCCTGATTTTGGTGTTGTCCCTAAATACCTTGAAATCATGTTGGTTTTATCCCCATTCCTCAATGTCCCAGTCCTCCCATTCCTCCTTGGATAATTCCAGTGCTAATACAGAAGAATCAGTCCCGCCCCATGAGCTCCCAGTCACAAACAAATCACTGATTCACTTGGTTCTGATCCGACTGAAATCAGTTTGGACCCCTGAGAGTCTTAATTTGATCATTTTGACTGGGTTGTAGATTTTTTTTAATCCTTATTAAAATATTTGCATTTGCTTTTAATTCACAACTGGGTATCATTCGTCTGCCAGGCAGCAATTTTCACGAATAATCAGAATTACAGTCACATGGGATCCAATCAATATCAACTTCATACATTTAAATCACATTAACAGCGATCAGTCAATGAAGTCAGCACAGGAAAAACAAACAGCTGGATTATGAAACCAACCAGTCATGCTGAAGGGGAGGCTCTTCAGGCTCCATTTCCAAATGCAAGATGGAGATTGAACAAAAGATCACCCCAGTGATGGTAATCACAAAACTGCACGACTGGGATTTTTGTGGTCTGGAGGACATGGCATGTCTCAGGCCACGTGGATCATAACCAGGCCACAGTTGTGTCTAGACTTAAGAATTTCCTTTTTTTTTATTTTTTAAAATAAATCTCAAAAAATTATAGCCAAAAAAAAAAAAAAATCTCAATTGCAGTAATTTGTGTTCAGCCTAAGGACAGTTACATACATACCAGCTACCAAGTGACTCTTTCCTGCGAGAACACAAACACAATTAAGATAATTAAGATAATTAACACTCACAGGCACCTTACAGAAACCATTGCAAGAACCAAAGCTTTTAAAACCTCAGCCAGGCACCTCCCGAGCACGGGCCTGATGATGTGGCCTCCAGGGTGCCACCCGAGCTGTGGTGCTCACCCATCCCCACACGGGTCACAGTGGCCACAAAACCTCTGCTGTCACTGTCACCCCCTCCTGGCACTCAGGCACTGCTGGAGCAGAGGGCAGAGCACTGCAGACCCCACAGCCCTCCTGCAGATCCCCCTCCCTCCCTCCCTGGTGGCCGCAAAGCTCACCATCCATCCAGCCGCTGGGAAGTCAGGGTGGGATTTACTGCCCCAAGGCTGAGCAAGCAGAGCATTAACTTGAACAACTCCCCCAAAAGAGTGGCTGGAGCTGCTGAAAACTCCCTCACACCCCAGGGCAAAAGGGCTGGACTGACTCTGGAAGGACCAGCCTCAAACCTCTCTTAGCCAGTGCAGTTCCCAGCACCACGAGGTGGAACCTTCCACCGTTTCCTAAAGCTCATCCAGGAGCACCTGGGATGTTCTCCCTCCTGTCCAAATATCACCCTGAGGGCCTGCCCGTGCAGGTGTCGAGCGTGGAGACCTCCATGGAGACGAGGTGGCCCAGGGACTGACGCTGATGCTCTCTGCTACAAAGAGCTCGCTCGGAGGAGTTCATCCCTGTCCTGCCTTTGTCCCTGACCCCACGGATCTCCACAGATCCTGAACCTACGCCCACAGACCTCAGAGGAGCTCTGCTCAGTGATGCCTGCAGGGGGAAGGGGGCACCCCAAAAACAGATGCTGTCTGAGACGAGCCTCCAGCGCAAAGTGCGGAGCTCTGAAGCAACGTGGTCATCAAGGGGCACCTCTGCAACCTCGTCAGGCACAGCAGGCAGCTCAAAGACCACAGGGCAGGCTCTGATAACAGGGCCATGTGCTTTCTGAACGCTGCCTGCGCCCTGGGAAGGAGGTGAAAGGCTATGACGGGCCTGAGAGCAGAAGCCCCCACCCAGACACTCCTGCAGTCCAAAGGGAGCAGCGCTGGGCTTTGCCTCTGCTGCACCCTGCCCAAATCCTGACAACAGCAGCGAGTCACTGCCCCAGCCCACCGTGGGATCTTCTGGAGGGAAGGCCAGGCTCAGAGGCTCGCCAAGATCCCAGATTCCTGCAGGCAGAGGTCACTGCCAGGTCTACAAAGCCCTAAGTGAAGTCACAGTGACAGCATCTACAGCTGAGAAACAGGATGGGAACACCTACGCCCCTCTCTCAGCTGTGGGTGATCGTTCCCTGAGCACTCCTTGCCTTTTCCAGGGATGGAGCACATGCTGCTAATGGATAAGGAAATCTGGTTTGTCTCAAGTTATCCAATTTGTATTGGATAAGCAGGTGAGTGGGGTGGGAGGAGAAAAATCAGGCTCTGCTCCTGTTTCTAAGGAAGAGGTGCCTTCTCCAAGCTCAGCCTGGCCTTGGGGCTGCATCTCTATTTACCCCGGTGTAAATAAGGGTGGAAAGAGCTGCACAAGGGTTCCTGAAATGCCTGAAGGATGTCAGAGCTGTGAGCCAGGGCCGTGGCCACAGCACGGCGACCTCGGCCACCTTAACACAAGAGAGGAAACCACCTCTGTGGGGCGGGAATCCCACCCCACAGTGGCTTCCTGGCCAGCATTCCCGCAGGGAGGGGGGATCCATACCGTTGAGCAGGGTGCCAAAGTGGAGCACTTGCAGGTACTCTGCCTCACGCATGAAGCCCTTCAGCGGGGTGGCCCAGCCTTCGCTCAGCACCTGCACCCACTGCAGATCCAGCTGCAAAACAAACCCACAGGGCACTCCTGTCACGCTCCTTTAGAGTCACAGAGTGGTTTGGGTTGGAAGGGACACCTTCCACTGGCCCAGCTTGCTCCAAGCCCCGTCCAACCTGGACACTTCCAGGGCTCCAGGGGCAGCCACAGCTGCTCTGGGCAACCTGTGCCAGGGCCTGCCCACCCTCACAGGGAAGAATTTCTTCCTAATATCCAACTTGTCAGTGTGAACTTGTGGGGCTGTTATTAAAAGGGGACTCACTTTCAACAGCACAGGCTGGAGACAGAGCAGAAAATAGCTGAGGGTCAGGATCACACCTCAGCTCACCATAAACCACAGCCAGGAAAGGACGTGGCCATCACAGGAACACAGGCCCCTCTGGCAACACTCTCCTGGAAGCTTCTACCCTTGGATCAGCTCAAGAATGCCAGAACCCATGACAGTACCTTAGTGATCTCCACGGATGGCAGCTTCTCTGCCTCAGCTCGGACACTGCTGAGCTTATTTTCAGGCACAAACAGCTCAAGAACGTCCTTAATTGAGCCCTGGGGAACGATATTCTGAAAGATAGAGAAGAGACAGCACCTGTAAGGCACACACTGGTTTTTATGTACACATCAGAAAGCCCGTGTCCCAAAGCAGGATTCCAAATCTGCTGGTGACAGCGGCATAAAAATGACCTACCTGTGCTTGGAGGAGCTCCACAACCTGCTGGATGCATTCAGACACTGATGCAACGTTCGTTTTCAGCACCAGTTCAGGAGCTTCGGGTTTCTCGTACTCCGAGTCGATCCCCGTGAACCCTACGGACAATGAAACCCCAAATTAAATTTATTTAAGGCAACACTCGGTGCCCCAGAGCCAACAACGCTGTGCAAACAACCAGCAGGCATTCAGCTGTGCTGGGTATGACAAGTGACATCTGTGACAGCAAGATTAGGGAAACAGGATCCTCTTGTGCTCCACAAAGAGCCTCCAGAAACCCACCTCTATGTGCAACGAGGTGTCCAGTGCTTTGGAAAGTAAAGGCAAAACAAGACCTCACTCCTCTACATACCTTTGATCTCTCCAGCTCTTGCCTTTTTGTACAGGCCCTTCACATCTCTGCTTTCACAGATATTTAAAGGAGCATCTACAAAGATTTCAAAGAAAGGGAGTCCAGCTGCCTCGTGAATTTTCCGTGCATTTTGACGATCCTGTTAGAAGACAGATGGGAAAATCCTGTGTGTCCAAACCGCAGCTATCACCTTCCTGCTACCTGATGTGTCCTGGAGCTTGACACAGGCAAATTTTTACACTAATTCTAATAAGGGTCTTTCATCTTCCTTCCCTCCTTTCCTTTAAAGATACTTGAAAAAAAACAACTGTACAAATGTACAAGTTCGTTCTGTTTTCAGCTTTTTCCACCCAAAACCTCAACACCTTTTTGTGAAGCAGGACAGCAGAACTTCAGATTGCGAAAAATTATCTGCCCTGTGTCAGAAAACAGCTGGACAGACTTGATGATCTCAGAGGTCTTTTCCAACCTTAGTGATTCTGTGAAAGAAGGTACCTTGGTGAAGGGGGAAATGAAGCTGGTGATGCAGACGAGCCCGGCGTCGGCGAAGAGCCGCGCCACCTCGGCGATGCGCCGGATGTTCTCCTCGCGGTCGGCCGCCGAGAAGCCCAGGTTCTTGTTCAAGCCGTGCCGGACGTTGTCGCCATCCAGGGAATAGCAAGGGATGCCGTGGGACACCAAGTACTCCTCCAGGGCAAAGCCGATGGTCGTCTTGCCGGCTCCAGAAAGGCCTGATGGAGACAGGGGAGCGAGGGTCAGGTTTGAGGTCGAGAGAGTGAGGGTGTCCTGGGACACCCACAGCAAAACTCCTTCTGTCTGAAGTTGCCTTAGGAAGGAGCGAGGAAGGGAAGTTGGATTCATCTTTGTAGCACACCTGGGTCAACCTTCTTATTAACTGCAGAATCACAGAATCAGTCGGGTTGGAAATGACCTCTGAGATCATCAAGTCCAATCCTTGCTCCAACCCCGCCGTGGTTCCCAGACCAGGGCACTGATGCCACATCCAGTCTCATCTTAAAAACCTCCAGGGATGGAGAATCCACCACCTCCCTGGGCAGCCCATTCCAGTGCCTGATCACCCCTCAGTAAAGAATTTCTGCCTAATGTGCAACCTAAGCCTCCCCTGGCACAGCTTGAGACCGAGCCCATGAGAAAAGCTGCTACATCCCAAAGTCTGGAGGGGCTCAACCCAGCAGTGCTGCAGAAGCACCTCCTGCTGGGCCGTGGTGGGACACAGATGCACCAGGAAGTAGGGGAAGTTTGGAAGGGTGCTGTGGCCTGTAAGTCTCTCAGCATCTCCCTCTTTCTCCTTCTGTTCCCACTGAGGACCAACTGCTCTTCCAGACTGAACCCAAGGAAAGGTTCTTGCAGCAACTGTGTGGGGTGGGACAGGCCCCAGCAGCAATGGCCCCTCTGCATCCACAGACACTCCTTCTTCAGGTGCATATTTCGAAGAATAATCACAAGGCAGAGAAGCTCAAACCTTTTAGGCACAAGATTTTTTTGTGTGACGCTCAAAAGAGAAGGAGATTCCCTTGGACAGGTTTTTTGAAACTGAATCCAAGTTGAAGAGGAGAACAAACCAGAAATGTGTTTTCATCCAACATCTACCACCTAAATTGACAGGAGGGCGAAAGGGCTTTACAAACCCTCCCAAGCAAATCCTTCAACATCCTCTATCAAAGAGAATGCCAATATTTAACAAGCAAAGGAACAACTGGACAAGTGGCAAAAGACAGAGCTGTCTAAATATTAGAAATGAGAAACGCTACTGTCACTTCCAGCAGCCCCTAATCCCCAAACAACGAGCTTATATTTCAAAGCAGAGGAGAAGGGCAACAAAACACATGCAGGGAATTGCTTCCAGTGCGGCTGGCTGAGAATATTTATTCTCCAGACAAGGTGACTGCCTCGTGCTGCCTTAAACGCAGCAAACCTGTGTGTCCCAATGAACTTCCCACCGCCCCCGAATGAAAACACTCGCATTTTGGACAGCCCTGGGCGCGTTTCGCTGCCAAGGACTGGCTGGGGTTCGAGCCAAGGCTTCCTCAGCTACACACTTGGGAACAACAAGTGCTCCCCTTGGGGCCTCTGACGTGTTCAAAGGAGCCCGATAACAGCTGGGAAATGCACGAAAACATCGGTTCTGGGCGGCAGCTGCCAGGGAGAACATCTCGCTGCGTCTGCGCTTCCCACGTGTGAGGGTTTTGCAATTCCCGGCTCCCAAGGAACGCTGACGTTTCCCGCCGATCCCCGATCCCCAGCTCCGAGCCACGCTCTCACACCCAGAGGAAAATACCTGTCAGCCAAACGGTGCAGCCTCGGAATCCTCCTCTGGTACCCACAACTTGTCCTCTCTTGCTCCTGCTCACGTGGTGGGCTTGGTAGACCACGTTGGTGGATCCCTGAGGAGAGCAAAGCGAAGCGTTTTTGTACTGGGAGCAACAAAGAGGAGGGAGAGAAACGCAAATCCATTCGTGAGCCACGCAGCAAACCTTGGTGTGAGTGGGATGGGTGATTTGTTGAAGGCCCTGAGCCTGTGGCCAGAGTGCTGCTGGTGGTGGTGGTGATGCCTCGGTGCCACCGCTGCTGCAGGAGCACTGCCAGGGGACCGCAGGCAGGGGACGGAGGGCACAGACACACACTCCCTGCCTTTTCCACGTTTTGAAACATAGGCAGACTCGCCTATGATTTTAACTGTGCCTGCACAACAAGGGCAACTGCAGGTGCTCGTTCACCTGCTGTGCCTGACACGAGCTGGCTGTTGATAACTGGGGCAGGAGACGGCCACATGGCAGCGCCGAGCTGAGCGACGCCCGGAACGCGCCGGGGTGCCAGGCAGAGGAATGACCCCGAGGTGTTTGTGGGCACTTCCCAGAGCAAACAAGGGACTGGCACAAAGCTGAGCCACAGGTCCGAATTTTGGTGCTTCCTAAAGTTGCCCACCCTGGCCTCCCTGCTGGCTGCAGATGGAACAGCCTGTCCGTGCCCTGCAGCTCCAGCAACGGCAGCTCGACAAGGAACTGTCCACATAAAGTATCTGCAAGACCTTACTCATGGCAAGGATCATCTTTCCAACTGAGGCATCCAATGGATAGTAGCAGGAGGGAACAAGGATATAAATATATCCTGGAGAAATATATATATATGGGAGAAGCGAAGGTTGTGTGGAGACCTCACAGCACCTTCCGGGATCTGAAGGCGCTACAGGGAAGGCCAGAGAGGGGCTGTTCAGCAGGAACTGGAGAGCCAGGACACAGGGAATGGCTTCCCACTGCTGGAGAGCAGGGTTAGATGGGATACTGGGAAGGAATTCTTCCCTGTAAGGGTGGGCAGGCCCTGGCACAGGTTGTCCAGAGAAGCTGTGGCTGCCCCTGGATCCCTGGAAGTGTCCAAGGCCAGGTTGGATGGGGCTTGGAGCAACCTGGGCTAGTGGAAGGTGTCCCTGCCCATGGCAGGGGGTGGAATCAGATGAGCTTTAAGGTCCCTTCCAACCCAAACCATTCTGTGATTCCATGAAAAACTTAAACCACCTCCAGACCTGCCCCTGAAGAAGCGAGCGAACACTACACATCCTGTGACTCAGAGAATAAAAGATAAGCAGCTCAAGATCTGGTTTTTGTGGTTTGTTCTGTTTTGTTGCTTTCACGGTTTGTTTTTTTTTTTGCAGGGGGGTTGCCAAAACTTGGAACATTTTTTGAGCCAGCAACACCACGGTTTAATTTTCACCTGTCCCTGCGGTTCAGGCTCCAGCAGCGAGACCGAATGACGGACAGGGACGACCAGGACTGACATTTCTGTGTGGAGAAGCGAACCTGCACACTTCAAATCTCTCTTCTGCATCAGCAGGGACTCCAGCCTTTGCACAGTGCTGATGTGCTGATGAGCCCCTGATATCCTGCGTGCCTGGGGAAGGGGTGGGATCTGACACATCCCTCCGGGGCTGACGTAAGGAGATTGCTGCAAGTACTTGTTGCTGTGCCACAAACCCGTGCTGGGAGTGCATCCCAGAGCTGCTATTTTGCACACTGGCATCTTTTGGGAGCTTGGGGTGGCATCACTGAGGGCAGTTCTGCAGTTCAGCAACACCATCAGACCTCCCCTCCCCGCCGGCAGCTCCAGGGGGTACCAAACCCTCAGATTTTTTGTTAATCATCTTCCTGGGAAACTCCTCCTAACCCCGAGCAACTGGGCTGGAGGCTTTTGTTTGGCTGGGAATGGGCTGTTCAGTGGGAAACATGGACTTCCCATTTCATAATCCAGCAGCCTGGATGTGGTTTGGGAAGCCAGAGCTGGAAAAAGACGGCAGGGACTGAAGGCACCGGGAAAAATGAGCAGCAGTGGCCTGAGAGCAAATCCTGGAGAGATTTCATCTAGGAAGGGCATGTCCTGCAAGGTGGTTGGGAGGCAGAGAGAAGGGATGGATAGGGTTTTAATCAGATGCAGGGCTGTCCTACTGATTTTATTCTCAGGGTTTTAACCTTGCCATCGTAAATCAAACATATTTAAATAATTAACCCAATCATCATCACAACACTTACACCTGGATTTTGGGCCTTGCAGCAGGGACAGTTTAGAGACACTGGTCAGCATGGCTTGGAATAGTCCAGCTCAAGGAAGTGAGGTTTGGAACAGGAACTTCTTATCTATAATTCAGCCCCAAACAAGGCAATAAATGACCCAGCAGAGTCCCCAGAGAAGAGCTGTGCAGCCTCTGCCAGACAGAGGGTTAAAGAGGACACTGCCACACTCTCTCCTCTCCTTGGAAATCTGCTTGGCCCTGTCTGGATGATGTCAGTGCTCAGCCCACCCCATCTTAGCTCATCCAGGAAACTGGGGAAAAATAAAGACATCACTCCAAACCTTGTAACTGAGGCTGCAGGGGCCCAAGAAACCAAATCTGAACTCTGCTTTTGGTCTTCCCTCCTACTGAACCCTTCCATGAGGTTGGCAAACTGGGAGACACCAGGTGACAAGGTCTGGGGGACCTCTCCCAGCCACTGCTGATGTTTGTTGGGAGTAGAACCGCTGCACGAATAACAGGAAATGCACCAAACAAACAATGCTTACAATCACAGAATTGTAGAACTGCTAAGGCTGGAAAAGAAGTTTAAGATTATCAGGTCCAACCGTCAACTCAGCACCATCAAACCACATCCTCAAGTGCCCATTTTTTCTTGAACACTTCCAGGGACGGTGACTGGGAGAAGAGACCAACTCCCACCTGGGTACACCCTCCTGTCAGGGAGTTGGAGAGAGTGATCAAGTCTCTCCCCTGAGCCTCATCCTCTCCAGGCTCAACAACCCCAGCTCCCTCAGCCTCTCCTCACAGCACTTGTGCTCCAGATCCTTCCCCAGCCTCGTTGTTCTTCTCTGCCCCTGCTCCAGCCCCTCCATGTCCTTCCTGAGCTGAGGGGCCCAGAGCTGGACACAGCACTCCAGGGGTGGCCTCCCCAGCGCTGAGTCCAGGGGCAGAATCACTGCCCTGCTCCTGCTGCCACACAATTCCCAATCCAGGCCAGGATCAATTTGCCTCCTTGGCCACCTGGGCACACTGCTGGCTCCTGTTCAGTTTTCTCTCCATCCAAACTCCCAGGTCCCTTCCTGCCTGGCTGCTCTGCAGCCACTCGGTGATGCTGCAGAAGGAGAAGTTTTGCCACGAGAAAGCCGCGCTGGTCATTGCGACGTCCTCGTTGTGCCCTCAATTCACCCCCTGCCGCCACAGCAGCACCTCTGCCCGCTGGAGCTGACCCAGGCAGGGTGCTGGAAGCTGTCCAGGAGCCTCAGCTCATGTCAGGCTGCAGCAGCATCCTGCTCTGGACAGGGACTCCCTCCTGAAAACACGGAGCAGAACAAAGCCAGCCGAGGAGGGCTATTAAGGGCACATCAGTCACACCTCCGGCTCCTCCTCCGAGCATCCAGCTGGAAGCTGGCAGCGCTCACGGCCCCAGGGAAACCCTGACCCACCAGCCAGGGGAGGGTCAGGACTCCCCCCAGCTGCGTTTTTATTTATAGGGCTAGCTCAGTGCACCAGGATTATGATTCATTTCTTTCCAGTCAAGCATTTCATACACGCCCTATTCGGGTCCTGCAGCCTGGACGTGTCTCCAGGAAGGAAAAAAAAATAAGGTCAAAATAAAAACAGAGGCTCTCAAAAGGTTTTCAGCTGATCCTATTTGCAAATGGCAAAATGGAGCTTTTCAACTGATCAAAAAAGCTTTCACTTGCACAGGCACACGATGGGATTGTTGGGGCCAGGACTTGGACTCCAGGATCCTTCCAGCTCCAGGAGATTCTGTGACTCCATGAGTTTGAAATAAAACACTTGCTTCAGCCTCTGGAGATGGATCTAACTTATTGTTAAAAATCCCCTCCCAAATCCTGCCATCTCGAACCAAAAAAACCCAAAAAACCACCACCAACAACAACAACAAAAGAAAAACCAAAAAAACCAAACCCACCAAGTTTAAAAGATCTTTTGTCCTACCAGTTGAATTTGAGGCACAAAAATTAAGTTTATGGGGTTTCTTGGTAAAAATTAATTTCTTCTACCAGGGTAGCTCCCACTGGGTGCTCTGGCAAGAGGGTGATGCTGTAATCCATCACCAACAATGGGGAAAAAAACTTCCATAAAAGAGACATCTGATGAAGAAGAGCAAAATGATTATAGTCAGAAGGAGCAAGAGAGGAAAAAAAGGGAGGGTTTTGCTTGTGGAAACAAAGATTTAATTATGACCATACTGAAGATGGAGAAACCTCAGCATCTCTTGAGTCTCGATTTAGCTCTTGTAACCCTAAACCTCTGGATTTTCCCAAATATCCATTTCACGGACTAAGGCAGTAAACACTTCAAAATCAGCCCCATTCTTTCCCAGGGGAAAACCCCACCAAGAAGGAAATTTTGCCTGTTTAACTTCTCAGGGTGCAGATCCAGACAGGGAAGTGGGACCTTCTGCCATGCAATCCACCTTCCTGCTTCCCATCCTGGTGTTCCCATCATGGTATCCACCTTCCTCCTTCCCATCCTGGCGGTTCCCCCTGTTCCCTGCACTCAGGATGTCTCCCCTCCCACCGCCTGGACACGAGCAGGAATGATGCTGTGTTTTCCTTCCAGCCTGAGCCGAGCACACAGGGACGCGTCACCAAACACCCCGCTGAGGCTGAGGGGTTGCCAGCACTCCCAATTCCCAAGCTGGAAGCAGGACTGGGCTTCCTTTCTTCATCCAGCACTGGGAATAAACCCCAGCAGACCCGGCTTGCTCCTTGGCACCCGCCACCTCTGCTGCCCGTTCCTTCTGGCAGCACCTCAACCCCCGGGCACTGCCAGGGCTGTAACACAGGAGACCTTCAGGAGAGCAGCAGGGCCACCCCAGTTCCCCGAAACAAGCAGCCTTTCAGCTGGGAG